TAGGTTAAAGGTTGGACTCGATGATCTTAAAGGTCTTTTCCAACCAAAGCGATTCTATGATTCTATGATAATTCATGTCTGTTCTAAAACGGTGGTAAATTGCTGCTCACTGTCATTTGATGGGGTTGTATTTCCATTAAGTTACATGCTAGATTTATTGCAGAGCTTTAGAAATTCCTTTTTTTTTTGTCAATCATAATGGGAAGTGTTGAGGAAGGTGTCGCATTTTGTATGATCTTGTATCTATTTCTTGTGTGTTTCTTGGATGAGGGTTTTCTGTGCTATGCATCTCGGTAAAATTTTAAATTTTTTTAGAGGAAAAGAAGCACTGTTAGGCTCTGAGGGGTCTTGTAATTGTTCCTGCTCCTTCATCTCGATGTAAGTCCCAAGCCCAAGACCAGATGGATGATCTGTAAAAGGCAGTAGGTAAAAAAAATTGCTCTATTGTGCGACAATTGATAACACTGTATAACAACTCCTTATTTAACAATGCTTCTCGCTTTACTGGCACAACTCTCTTGTTCAGCAAGAGTCAAAAAGGACCTTTCCCACTTCCTTCAATTGGATGACTTCGAGCAAAGTCAGGTATGTTGATAAATGCATTTAAATACATTTCTTCGTTATTTTAGCTGGAATTATTGAACACACAAACTGGAAGTATTGGTACTTTATAAGCACAAAGAAAAGAGACTACATTAATACAATGCATTGTTTTATTACTTGGACCGCACTGTACATCAAGACAGACAGGTGACTGACTTCCCACCTTCGAGGTATTTATGTTAATGGGCACTGTACATTACAGGCATCTTCCTGCACAAGCTAGTAAGCGTGTCTGAAACATTCTTAATGGTTTACTTTTAAGATCTTTAATGTTTATTGGTATGATTTAAATCATAATGTATTTGGTAAAATTACTTTATTGTAGTAATATTGTTATCATAGAGTTTTCCTACAGCTTTCCTTCCCAGATTGCACATGTTGACTGTTAGATTGGTTTTCAGTGGTTTTGTAGGAGTAAAATTTGCAAACAGCTCTGTTGAGGGTGCTGGCATTACTCATTTACAGAGATATGACAAGGGTAGAACGTTTTGTCAAATTCAATTAAATGTAATGAGTCCAGGCTCATCTTATATCCAGTGGTGGCGTTAGCAAGGCGGACTGAGGGTACCATGTAACATTTCAAACGGGATCAGGTGAAGTGGGGTCTGCTATCTTAGAATTCCTCTCAGGTATATTCTCATTCATAATATTTCCTTTAGATAATAACAATATTTTCAAAACAGAAAGTGTTCTCATTTCCCCAGAGAAGCCTCATTTTTTTAATGCATTGAATTAATTAATACTGTATCCTGTTTGAAAGGAAGTTGGCTTTATTTCAGCTGCAGAGATTATGGTCCCCTTGGAACATAATTGTACAAAATGTTTTGCTGCAATAGTCTGTGTGTCTGGTCATGACTGTACGGTGTGGAAGGTACAGAGTTCAGGTCCCCGGTGAACAATCAAGAGGAGAAGAATGTCCTATTTATTTTATTTTGATTAAAAATAATTGCACTGAATTATTTTACACAACAGTAATTTACTTAACAAAGAAAACTCTACCACTAAACCAGACGTGTGTCCTGGGGCTTAAGCTAATTGGATTTTCAACATAAGAATGGTCGTACTAGGTCAAACCCAAGGTTCTTGTAATCAATGCTCAGTCTGCAGCAGAGACGTGCTTAGGGAGAAATATATAGGGACCCCTGTCCTTTAGATTATTTTCTCAGAGTACTCCGGTACTGCTGCAAGCTGGCAATCTTTTGTGACTTCAGGGCTTCTTGTATGCTTCTCCCTTAGTGTCAACACCAAGTGGTGTACATTGGGGTCAGCTGAAAACATCCAACTGAGCTACCACAAGAAATATGCTGTGTCGAGGGACGTGACAGGCGCTTCTGGGTTCTCGAGCAACAAACACCCAGTGCTTTCCACCATCCATATTCAAAAGAGGTTTTAAATATAATGCTGCTATTTTAAATAAATTGTAAATTTAATAGTCAGCACCTTTTGGGCTTGGTCTATTCTAGCATGCCTACTGGGCTTCCATACCTTTTAGTGAAGCTACTTTGCCCATGGTGATGCCATGCGGCAGACAGTTAGGCCTGGTACCATCATTGGCAATTCTTAGGTAATTTTGGGTTCTAGCCACATGATGGATGATCATTTGTGCCCAGAAGTCATGACCGAGAATTGAAATTTGCTAGTCAAAGTAACTGAGAATTGGAGATCACGTTTGTCTTCCTGTTTTGTTTACTCCACTGCATATTAATTACATTGGAAATATATTTTGAAGAGAAGAAAAATAAGAGTTCCAGCCTAGCAGGGACCAAGCTGTTTCTTCGCATTTTCACAAGGAAGGAATTTACTTCTTGTCTACTTTGGAGTCTAAAATGGTCAAAGATTTTGTACACTTTATCATTAGATTATGAAAGACAGTGAGAGCTTTTCCATTTTAAGGTTGGTTTTTTTTTTTATCTGTGCTGTTTACGTGCTGTGGCAGAGAGCATGCCATCGTTTCACCAGCTCCTTGGGCTTGCTGATCATTTCATTCCAGTGTTCTAGTTCTTTGCCGCGGGTGTACATGAAAGGCCCGACTACTACACGTCCTAGCAGATGTGTTTCTGGGGAAGAAAAAGCAAGCGGTTGGTGATTAACACCTGTAAGTGCTTCTCTGAAATCCTTACCTAAATTAGAATGTTGACTTGTAATGCGTGTTCTGAAAGTTTTTCTTAAAGCAAAATTTCCATCAGGGAATTCACTCTCGATCTCAAGTTCCGTAGTTTCTAGGTGCTAAGGTTCAGCATTAGAAGGTCCTGCAGAAAGTGGGTATTCAGTCAATTTGGGCCAACCCTGTTGCCTGCACGCTGAACTGGAACCAGTTTAAGGCACACGGATCCGTATCTGCCCAGCCCCTCTACCTCAAGCGCGGCGTGGAAGCGCGCCCTAGTTTGGGGCACCAGCAACCTCAGTAGGGTTCACCTGTGGCTCTAGCTTGGGACAGAATAGGTTCAGTTATCGGGAGAGCTGGGAGTCACAATGTGTGGGTTGCCACTGACCACCCTCTGCCAATGAGCAAATTGTTTCTTCAAGCCTGATTTTTTCCAGCTGTGGATGGGGAAAATAATCTGAACCTGCCTTACATGAACTTCAGAAAGTCTGTAAAGCATTGGGCAGCGTGCGAGTGACAATGAAGAGACTCGAGTACCCATCCTAGTTCTTGTCAATCCTCAAAGCCAAAGCACCTGCCCAAAATCTCACCTAAAGGAACTTTTTTAGGAGTGTGTGAATCCAAATGGGGGTATTGGTGTTTCATTATTGAGATTGTATTTGCACTGCAGGGAAGATGTTTTTTTCTTGTGAGCAGTGGAAGTATTGAATTCTGATTTGCAGAACTCCTTAATGGATCCTCTGACAACTAGTAAGAGGTGAGTGACCTCAAGCACCAGGTTTGCTACTGGGGAATGGGGATGTTTCTAATCTCTCTCTATTCTTTCTCACTGCTTGAACTGCTGTGATAACTAAAATTTCTATTGCTCTTTCAGATTTGGTTAGGAATAGTGAAGAGCTTCAAAATTTTAGGGGTCGGGGATTATACACACAAGTGTTCACAGAACGTATTTGCATAAGCTTGTTTTCTTAGGACACCAGAATGAAACAAAAGTCCACCACCTTGCACTGACAGTGACTAGCCTACAATTATTTTATTTATATCTGCCATTAAATTTATCTTTAGCCTCTGAAAGAGAGGCATATGCTTACTGCAAGATGTTCTGCTTTTGAAAGAAACAGCCATTAAATACCCCAAACCTTTTATATGTTTTATGATTATTGCTTGAAGAGGGATTAGTTCCTCCCAGGTTTAAATACCTCTGCAATATGCAAGAGATTTATGGCATCCTAGCTGTAATAATTGATGTAGCTTACTTTCTCCCTCGAGGCTCTGGAGCACGGACAGGCTCAGGCTTGCTGTATCCAGCTCTGTCGGATCTGCCTTGAAACCGAAGGTTTCGTTATACACTGGATTGGGGGATCCCAGAACAGCTGCTGTCTTTTTCGTTTTCATGAATTTATTATGGTTCATTAGTGAGACTTTGACATACACACCTTGGAGAAAAAGAAATTCAAGAAGAAAAAAAGGTCAGAAGCAGTTGGGAGAAGGCTTCAGGAATTTCTTGCCTTCAGGAGTCAATATTCGGTATAAAACCAGATCAGAACGATTCGTGAGGCATACATGGCAGCATGGCGACGCAGAACATCGGGCAGGGAGTACACAAAGCCCTTAGGGTGCAGTTCTGCAGTGCGCTTTCCAATTTAAGAGCTGTTAAAAGGAGCAGCCGTATTCTTACCCTGCATCCTTGATCTTATATTCCTGTACCTTCCCTTCATCTGACGGAGAGTTTTTTGAAGGGTTAGTTTGTTGGGTCAGATGGTTTGACCCAACACAAGGGAGGCTGTGAGGGAGGAGCCATGTCACAGAGCTGCAGCCTGCGCTTGGATAGGATACGTTCCAGGGGAACAGAGTCTCCTAGTCAAAGAAGAATCCTTAAACAAAAGGTTTTACTAATGACTTCTAGCCCTGTGGTAAGGGATTCTGTAGAAAAATTGAGGAAAAGATCAATGGTCTCTGCTCTTCTAAAAACTATTACAAAAATTGTGTGTGAGCGTGGGAACAAGAACAACAAAAAAATTTTGCTTTGCTTCCTGAAGGGGCCCTCTGTTGCATTGTGGTCTTACTCAGTAGCTCCTTGATGATGAGATCCAAAGCAGCCTGAAGTTTTCCATTCTTCCCTACCCTTCTACAAGATTTAGTGACAAGCATGTAGAAATTTCATCTGAATTGATGGCCAAAGATTTGTTCTTTTCCAGTGAAGCAGTAAGAGATTCCGTGCTGCTACTTGCTGCTATTCAGTTCATTAAGGGTCATCTGAATAGCAAAAAATATTAGAAGCTTCAGGACGGAGACAGCATTGACTCCTAATGTCCCGTTGTTATTTCCACAGATGCAGTAGGCTCTCGTGACTGTTTCAGAAGGTGTGGGATTCCCAGAGCAGACTTTATTCTATGACAGAGCTGCTACCTGCATGGAAGGAGTCACTCTGTAAACTACTTGCACAAAGTCTGACTCTTTGTTACTTTCTTGTGACTACTTAATACATTTAATTCAGTAATTTGAATCTAAAAATAAATTTCTTCTTGCTGTCCTATTCTGCATATCTTCCATCAAAGATCAGTGTTGTACTAATCCCTGTTAATATAGAAAACTTTTTATTCCAGTTTCTTCAGGATATACCAGAGACTCTGTGGACCCTGAATCATACTTGAAGGGCATTATCAAAGGAAATATCACCCAATTTATTTAATCTTCCTATTTTTATTTTTTTTTTTTTTTCCCTTAGTAATATGTTTACGAGAATCACCTTCTGGCAGCTCCTCCTTCCAGAGCGTGCCTATGCCTCGTGCTTATTCTGACAACCTGAAGTGTACCAGCACTACAGTAAGGCGGCAGATTGATGTTAGCTGAGTAGGAAGGAACAGGTAGAGCTCTGGCTCTCTGTGCTACAGAACTTCACGACAACCTGCAGGCAGAGACGTGAGGTATTAAGAAGTGCGTTCCCCCTCCCTTGTAAAACTATTGAGATGACGCAAAATTAGAACATTTGCTCTTAGTTCATGATGCCACTTTGTTCATCTGCCACAATCCAGTGGTATTTTTTCTGGCCATCCTTTTATCTTAGTTAATTGTTTTCTAAAACTAATACATTCCCTAATACATTTCTCTTTCAATAAGTGCGCAGGGTATGATTCTGCTTGTAGGAAACCTCTAATTCTCATCGTTTTACTGTGCATATCTTCATTTATGAGTTTTACCCTAACCAGAGCAAATTTATCTCTAACATTACAAATGCAGAATTACTCATTTAGAGGGTATCGTTTCTAAAGTTGAACACCCTGGTAACAGCCCACTCAAAGGAACCTCAAAAACCTTCATAGTTGCTGTGTGTGTCTAGAGAGAACTAAACCTCTCTTCTTTTTAACTGCTGGGTGTATTTTGCATTTATATTGTTCAGTTTCAAAGCCCTTCAAAAAAAATGCTACAGATTCAAACACAGGTTTGGTTCTTCCATCAGTGGGGTTTTTTGGGGGTTTGTTGTTTTTTTGTTTTTTTTTTACTTTGAGTGTTTAGCTTTTAAGCAGCATTTTGAGGTAGTCTCTCCATTCAACATCTCTGAGCCCAAGGACACATCAGCCAGGAAAACCCCCACGGCAGTAAGGGAGAAAAATTGTGACTCCATGCCATCGTCCTTCAAACAAACGGGAATCCTAAAAATGGGAATCTGCTTTTCCCAGCTCAGTTCTACCCAGGACAACTGCTCAGCCTAAGGGGTTGTCCTGCAGCTGCCACCTCTGGACTTTTGCCTTGAGGCAATTCTGCTAATGAGCCCTGAGATGCCACCTTCTCTGGACTGGAGCACAGCAAAGGGATGTTGCTCGCTGTATGAAAGGAGGAGAAAAAAAAATTGGTGCTGATGACATGAGGCAAACCCTTTATTATGAAACAAACCCAAAACAGCAGAACTGAGCTATCGCAATCTAATTACCCCAGTAACAAAGTATGGCTTGTTTCCAGTCAAACTAAATCACCCAGTTTATTTACTCTTTTCGGAGTCACTCAGCCAAGCCTGGGTGGGCAGATGAGGAAGGAGCAAATTACGGCAGGAATTCTGGAGCTGGCAGCAGAGAGGAAATCACACTTACTGGCAGCATGGCTCTCCTCCTGGAGCTTTAATCCCCGTGCCCTCAGGACCACTACAGTGAGGCGGCCCAGGTAGTCGTTGTAGCTGAGGGAGAACTGGATATCACCATAGTCTGAAGGAGGCTTTGGAAGCAGAAGAACACCTGTCAAATACTCTGAAAAACTTGCTCTTCCCACAGACAAATGGGGGGGGGGGGGGAGCTGTCCCTCATACTAGCGGTTTCTGCCCCACCAAGGCACGTGAGTGCATTCTGACGGCTTTACTTGCGCTGTTGTGATGTTTGATAGAACCAATTAATCGGCCTTCCCAAACCTTTGAATTCCCATCTCTTCCAGGTGATGCCTATTTCCTTGCCTCTTCTGCTTTTTTCTGCTCTAATTCAAAACAGAAGCAAACAAGAAGAGGCGCTTTCTTGTGTAGCTGTCTCCTACCCCGTGTGACTGTTTCTGAGCAGTTGGATAATCCCTGTGCAAGAGCTATGGATCTGCAGGTTGGTAAGGTGGGAATTTTGATTCCAACTGTTTTATCAAATACTTTTGCATTTGATACAACATGCTTCCACCTCAGCTGTACCCTTCCAATACTTGTAAGGCGACAGAAGTTCCACAGTGGCACGCAGCCTGCTATCACATACCTCCAGGTTTTCTTTCTCCAGATCTCTCCATACGACTAGTTTGTTGTCATCAGGTAATGCTTCATTTTTCAGTGGGAAGATAGCTTGGCCTAGGAGATGATGCTTCTTCTGTTGATCAACATGATAAACCAAAAACTTCAGAGTCCTTTGGAGCAACACGTTACTGGAAACCTGTACAGGAAAAGGAAGAATGTATTAATAATTATAAAACATGTGAGACTTTTCTACTCTGGCATGACTTCAGAGGAAGAATTTTTCAAAGTGTCTTAAAGGTAGGTGGAGATTTCCTTTCATTATTTGAAGCCCACTTTCTTAATTTGCCTAAATTTTTAGCTATGCAGGAGTCTAAAGATCCAAGCTAAAATAGAATGAGTTCATGTGAAAAATGTGAAGTTAGCTGGCAGTTTTTCAACTCGTATAGACCTAGTGTTATACGATGCATTCACTTCCAGACACAAATGTTTAGAAATCTGTAAACATTCATTTTTCAGTTGTCTGAAACACAAACTTTTTTGGTTTTAAAGCTTTTGCTCAAAGCCTTTTCCCACAGGGAGCCAAGCTCCCAGCTTTACAGCACTGTACAGATAGCGTAGCAGACAGCTCCCGAGTTCTAGTTTCTAGCCCACTTCCACAGCAAAGAAACTAAAAGCTACGAGAGCATTAATTCAGTACAGATTGCTTCTGGACTTCTAGAGTCCATCATTCCCAGTGAAAGTTCTGGAATCCTCAACTGGTGGTGCATGACATGCACCAACATCAACACGGTGCAGACCATGATCAGTTCTGGAGCCACAGACTTAAGTAGCCCAGGATCTCCAGAAGTCTTGGTAATAAATCCTATCTCCACTGGAAATGATTTGTGTCTTGGTAGAAGCTTGTAGCAAATTACTTTGCACAAAAAAGTGTACTGTAGTTTGACAAGTCAACAGTTGCAATCAAAAATCTGCTTCATCAAGAGGAAAAGTACCTGAAAAACAAAGGTTTCATCAAACTGCGGGTTAAGGGTTTTGTGTTTGGTTTTCGACAGCGAGTAGTTCCTTTCATCAGGCAGCAAGTAGATTTTCACAAACAGGCTACAGGGATCAGCAGGAGGAGGCTGCAGCTTTCTGGCTTTGATCAGGGAGACGAGGAGCCTTTCTGACTCCTGCTCATATTGTACGGAGAACCAGAGGCGGCCGATGTTGCCTTCAGGAAAATCCGTCTCACTTCTGTCTTCAGGAAACTTGTACAGCTCTGGGTTAATGGTCCCTACGACATAAGCTCCAGCTTTGTAAAATAAAAAACAAGCACCCTCAGATTAGTCTCAAAGCTGTAGCGGGCATTTTTATAACCACTGCTGTATTAGGAAAATCACATTAATCTCTCGATTAACACTCTGTTTTTGCAAAAAGTTGTTATTTTAGTGCCTTTTCCCTCAAATTTGGGGGAGCAGTTGTAAGCTGCACCACTTTTTTTTTTTTTTTTTTTTCTTATTCCTGGTACCTTGGTAGTTTGGGGTATTCATTGTTGCAGTCTGCAACCGGTCACTCTGCTGTTCCTGGGGACAACAGTCAGATACCCCTGGGTTACGTTCACGTTGTGCCTTTACAAATCACAGAAGGAGAGATTGCTTTGTCTGCCATGTGTGCAGAATGGTTACGTTCTGGCCCAATTCCTATATATATATGTATATATAATATATATATATACACACAGAGCACTTAGGGCTTGTACTGTGTAATGCTGTGTCTGGTTCTCCTCCAATAAAAATGCTTCATAATAAGAAAGTTACCCCTTAAAAGAGTACCCTTAAAAAGAGTCCCATTTCTGCAGCACCATACCCAAAGAATGAAATTAT